TAACACATTATAAACATTTACTAGTGCACCAAACCTTGGCAAGAGTTTACATCAATGATTTATTGTTACTTAGAAATTAAATGAGCTAGCTGTTCCTGAAAATATTATTTTAGTATAATAATAAATGTTTAGTAGTTTGACAGTTTTAGAATCCAATCATTATTTCCAATCGTTAAAATAATACAGTGATACAGTAATGTGATAAACATGTTTCCAAAATGTTTTATTTTGTTACACTTACTGATGTTCAACTAAAGACATGGAAACGTACATTTCGTCCCTCAGAAAAAAATGCACGCATGCTCAGCTCATCAACTCATCAGTTCTCAGTATGTCGAACGTGTCCGAAAGAAACAGTTCTCGGTTCTGTACTGGTTATCCGACCGCTGTTCCTGTATGTTCGGTAGTACACGCATGCGCAGTATCAGCTGCTCGTGCTCATCACTTCTCTCAGCACCAATATATGTCTCCGTTCAGTGAAGTTTTTGAGTTACTGGAATAAAATGTACTAATGGATATTGGTTTATTTCGATTCGGAGGGACTGTCAGGCATGTCTGAAAGTGAGTAACTTTAGTAACTTGTGGTTTAGCGCTGACGCAAGACGCGAACTGTTTCGAACGATTCAGTCCGATTTAGTGTACTGGTTCGACCGGTTCACTAAAAAGAACCGGTTCAAAAGAACGATTCGTTCACGAACCGGCCATCACTACTAGCAGCTAACGTTACTAGGCGCGCCGCGCGCAGGGTGCAAGTTCAACGCGGTGAACGTGCTCGTTTTTTTCCAAGCGCGTCCGCACCGCATCAAGATAAAAACATATTCATACCCTAATCATATAATAGTGTCACTAACGTTACATTAGATCTGACTAAAGGCACTGTTACAGTAGGTCATCTAAAAACACTTACCTCAGCCGCAGGTGATCCACTTGTCCTGTCTGTGCTATAGATGGGATGGCCGTATCCTTCAGCACATTATGGTCCGTGTGGCAAATTCCATTTTTTCAAAATAGTCGTCCTCATTGAAATGTACCGAGCAAACATAATGTCCCTTGATAATCTATTTAGTTGTGTTTGGATCAATATCCAGAGTAAGTAAGTTAGCCATTTCTTCATCCAGTCAGCGTTTTTAGTTGGAATTCTGTGAAACATGGTATTACCTCCCCTGTTTACAGTCGCAGCTATTTACAATAGAGCGAAAACCCATGACTGTAAACTACGCTTTTACTATTTATAAATTGCTGACTCTGTTACCCAAACACTGAGCGAACTCTCCGCTCCTCACGACGGCGTGTCTCATAGACATATACTAGACCTCACCTGGGGGTTCTAAGCATGCGTCAAAACCGCCGCCATCTTGGAACAGGGGTCTTGTCATAGGAAGTAGCTAGGTAACGCTGCTATCCTTTACTTCGTGGCGGGCTTTTGTGCAGCGTATGATGTTCACGGATGAAATCTGAACTAGGAAGAATGTTTGTTTGTTTTTTTTTTAAATAATAATTTCTTTCTGGAATTAATGATAAATACATGTCTGACCGTTGGAACAAACCAAAAAAACAAGAAAAATCGCATTCATGATGATTTATGGTGATTTTATTTCCGTTAGACCTGTCTACTACATAGACGCTGATGCATTAAAGTGGAGGGGCTCCCCTGTTTCAAGATGGCGGCTCTATTGACGCATTCGTTCCAATGAACTGCCGTATCCAAGGTCATAGATATATACACTAGACCTCACCTTGGATACGGCAGTTCATTGGAACGAATGCGTCAATAGAGCCGCCATCTTGAAACAGGGGAGGTAGCCCACCCACTTTAATGCATCAGCGTCAATGTAGTAGACAGGTCTAACGCAAATAAAATCACCATAAATCATCATGAATGCGATTTTTCTTGTTTTTTTGTTTGTTCCAATGGTCAGACATGTATTTATCATTGATTCCAGAAAGAATTTTTTTTTAATTTTTTTTTTAAAAACATTCTTCCTAGTTCAGATTTCATCCGTGAACATCATACGCTGCACAAAAGTCCGCCACCATCAATGAATTCGAAGTAAAGGCAGAGATAGCAGCGTTACCTAGCTACTTCCTATGACAAGACCCCTGTTCCAAGATGGCGGCGGTTTTGACGCATGCTTAGAACCCCCAGGTGAGGTCTAGTGTATATATCTATGATCCAAGGTGAGGTCTAGTGTCTATGGGCGTGTCTCAGGTGATGCGGTTATTACTCCGCCAAAGTAGCAGTGCTTCGCCTTCAGAGAATAGTTCCCAGGTTTTATACGGTTAAAAGATGTCTGTGTCTCATTTGACTTTGTTATTTGTACATTCTGTGACTATACAAATCACAACATGTAAATAGGAAAACGTTTGCGTTATTTTGCCACTCATTTGGATTATTATGAAAGCTGCAACCATTCACATCCACTCTTTGTGCTAAGCTAGGCTAGTGGTGGGTACGTCAAACAGACTTATAGCACGCACGGAGATGAAAAAGGTATGTATGGACTTATCTAACTCTGGGGGGTAAGGTGAATAGGCTAAAGTCCCAAAAAGTCGAAGTGTTCCTTTAACCTATAGATTAGGCCTACTGGCTTACAGACTTTACTATGTCTTCTTTTATTAAGTCCAGTAGCCGCTCCCCTCACAGATCATGCTTTTATCGATCTTATTTTATATGATTCTGGGTTGTCACAGAAACCCTGGATACTGGAAACTAAATTGTTCTCTTCTACACTGTAAATAAATATTGACGGTTTAACTTAAAAAAGTAAGTAACCTGGTTGCCTTAAAATTTTAAGTTGATTGAACTGGAAAAAGTGAGTTAATACAATGAAGGAGAATGATTTAATCATCAGAAACTCAAAATTATATGTTATCTGAACTAAATAAATTATTTAAGTTGATTTGACAAAAGAAAAAAATTTGTGATTACTACACTGTAAAAAAATATTGTTGGTTTAACTTAAAAAAGTAAGTAACCTGGGTTGCCTTAAAATTTTAAGTTGATTGAACTGGAAAAAGTGAGTTAATACAATGAAGTAGATTAATTTAATCATCAGAAACTCAAAATAATAAGTTATCTCAACTAAATAAATTATTATAAAGTTAAAAAATTATATTTGACAAAAGAAAATATGTTGTGATAACAAATCTTGAAAATATTTTTTTTACAGTGCACAGATTCCCTCTTATTGTTGTATTAAAGGGTTAGTTCACCCAAAAATGAAAATTCTGTCAGTATTTATGTTGTTCCAAACCTCTATGTGTTCATTTGTTCTGCTGAACACAAAGGAAGATATTTGGAAGAATGTTTTAATCAAACAGGTCGCATTCCCCATTGACTACCATACTATCCTACTATGGTAGTCAATGGGGAATGAGATCTGTTTGATTAAAACATTCTTCCAAATATCTTCCTTTGTGTACAGCAGAACAAATAAACACATAGAGGTTTGGAACAACATGAGGGTGATTAAATACTGACAGAATTTTCATTTTTGGGTGAACTAACCCGAGCATAATTGAACAATTTAAAGCAAAACCTGGTGCTTCAATATCTTTTGCATTGGGAAATGTTTAAATACGAGTGTAGAAAATTCTCTATTCGATTTAGTAAACACAACAGTTAGTGTTACTGTTACACTACACATAATAATAAAAAGTCATGCCGAATAAATTCCAGCGTCTCGCCAGAAGATGGCGCTCGCAGCTAAATAATCATGCATCCATTTACGGTACTACCCGCTGGTCCAAAATTTGGTCAAAGCGAATATCATAAGAGGAATGAATTGATTTTTGATCGATTATTAAATTGTTTGATTAAGGTTTATACATTCTAGTTTCCATGACAAATTGATAAAGATACACATTTGCCCTTCCATTTGGAACAGACAGTTCCCTGTTCTTACATTTTTTGATGTCTCCATTTCTGTTAAAATCTATGGTTAAAATGAACTGCAACCTAGTCTTGAATTTTTCTTATGTCTTACTTCATAAAAATGAATATGACTTTTCAAAAGAAAAACATGGCCTATCGATTTGTTTTTGTTAGTAGGGCAATGTTATATTCATCCAGCCTAACTCCATGTTGTCCATGGCTGCATTAAAATGTATTTAGAGTCTGTAAAGTTTTTTAAAAAGCCCAAATATCTGTATTTCTGCTAAATTAATTTAACATGTTTGTGATGCCCTTTATTTTAAAAATGTATTTTTCTTTATTAGAATAGGCCTCTTGTTGTTGTTGTTGTTGTGTTTCAAGTTATGCTTACAAAAATGTGAAAATAAGTGTAAAAGAAATGTTTCAACACCTTGATAATGAATTTTGTCATTTTGAAAATTCTAATAAAAAATAAACAGCAAGCACAAACTATGTCGGCAGCCCTTCGTGCACCAGCTAAGGCGGGAATGTTGCATTTTGAAATAGCCTAGTGACATTTGTCACTTGTAAACTTTGAAGAGTAGCCTAACTTTCTATATTTGAAGATTTTGATTAGCTTGGTGTTAAGGTGTGATTAGGGTTGGTCTTAAACTCATGAAAGTTCATCAAAGTGCTTGAGGCCACTGGATTTATTAGATAGCCTATCATTAAACCTTTTGTGGCAGCATAGTGTGGCAGCCTAGGGCCCTTGAGGCTACTGTATGCACACATCAAATCTCCTTTTCTCGCTGTGTCGACAGAGTTTTGGAATAATAATGGCATTGAAAAATATTGAATAAAAGCTTGAGAAAAAAGAATCCTCCTGTCCTATATACGCATATCAAATTTCTGTAGGCGTAGAAGCCAGTTCAGTTCAAATTGAATATGACTGATCCTGTCCATTACTCCACGTAGAGTCTGACTCTGCGAATGCCGTAGTAGGCTACGGTTAGCTGCCGCGTGGTGGCGAAAGAAGATTTGGGGTGGCAAACCAAAACGCTAACGAGTCGATTACAAAGTGAGATATCTTTAACCAGTTGGGGAGAGGGGCAAGAGTGCACGTGGTAGGGTGTAGGAGGGAACTAGATAGCTATGCGGATGAATTAAGCAGGCTATGAAGAGATGAGTCAATACGTAAGAAGAAAACAACAAGGGCTGGCTCATCTTTATTCTTTACCTATTCCTCCTCCTATTTCACACTGCTGCGCGTGCACGGTAACTAACCAAGTAATATTTGCAATGAGCAAACATTCGATTCTCAGCAGATGGATTACGTAAAACTAAAGAAAATGCGGACTGCATAGAAAGGAAGAAAAGGAGACAAAGAGAATCAAGAACATGGCAACACCTGTAAGTTGATCTCAGCCCTTGTAGCCTATATATAATTACACAGTTTTATGATTCTGTCACTTTCGGTTCAAACCTTTGTTGTAGCCTAAAGCCTACATAGCTTGATCGTTGACAACCGCATTCAACAACAAAAAAGTGTAGGCTAACTTAGTTCTCTGAATTTAACAGATTGAGAGCAGCTAAAAGTTTTTGCAAACTTAAAACCAAAAAAAGAATGCATTATCAAACTCGGCTGATCAGCTGCTCGGTTTCGGTTTATTTTTTGTGTGCGCGCGCGCGCGCATATTCATCTCATATGTTTTCTCAACACGGCAGCCAGACAGCTGTTCTCCCACTCTTTTTACTTTCCATTTCGCTATTGTTGCAACATCATGTGAAAACCCAGCATGTGACTACATATTTAACACTCACCACTCTTTACAAGTCCACTCATAAAGCTGCAGTCAGACATTCTACAGTTTGTCATTGACCCTGGCTAAGTCTGTTTTTTTTTTGTTTTTTTTTTAGTCAAACATGGAGGTAGACTTGCACGGACTGTTTAAGGATAACAAAACCTTCGACTATGACGATTATGAGTACAAGGAGGTGATCTGCGCGTCCAGCACAGTTTCTGGTGCCTTGGCGGTCTTCATTCCCCTGCTTTACACTGTGGGGCTCTTATGTGGGCTGCTGGGAAACGGACTGGTGCTGGTAATACTCTGGCGTAAGAGGCTGAACCTGAGTGTGATGGACATTTTCATCTTTCATCTGACTGTATCAGACACTCTCCTGCTGCTTACACTGCCTCTCTGGGCTGTAGATGCGGTTAAGGGATGGAACATGGGCACAGGGCTCTGCAAACTTGCTGGTGCTCTGTTCAAGGTGAGTTACTGTAGGCTTCTAGATCGCTCTGATAAGTCTGTAGACATCACTGCATGGAATGCCATTTTATTGTATAAACGGCTTCGATTATCAGATATAGTTTGAACAGTTGAGAATGAGACTCTGAAATTCACGTTAGCATAGAATGGATTGGAATGACAGGCTTTAGACATATCAGACAAAATGGATATCTTCTAATGGGATCTGAAGATCCCATTCTGTTGTTTTTTAGAACAAATAAAGTTTTATGTAATGTGAACTTATTTTTAACAGTGACATGCTATGACGTGAGCTAATTATCTATTATTTTATGCGCTATTATTTCATTCGTAAATACATTAAAAATGTATACTTAACTTGAATACACCTCTTCTATAATAAGCATGTTTTTATCCATTTTGATATTTTGGGGGGCATAAAGTCACAAATGTCATGGTGATATATATATTATATATATTATATATACATATATTTACTATATTTCATATCATTCTTTTTAAATTGTCTGCTGAATCCAAGTTGTTTGATGTGGCCAACAGTTTAGTGTTTTTTTCCCTTAATATTTTGCTTGTATTTCGGTTAGAATAACTATTCTCTGATAAAATCTCTTCAGATCAATTTCTACTGTGGTATCTTCACATTGACCTGCATCAGTGTTAACTGCTACCTGTCCATCATCCCTGGAGTACAGATGTTTTCCTGTGAAAAACGGTGGTTGGTTTATGGTTGCTGCCTGCTTATATGGATCGTTTGCTTGATCCTTTCAATCCCTGATTGGATCTTTCTGAAGCACGTAAGGGGTACATGTATTCACTTTTATACACCTGATTCCTGGCGTCTTGCCTCTCGTTTTCCACATATCGTGAGCTTTGTTCTACTCGTGCTGCTGTTCTGTTGTTTCTTCGTCCTGCTGAAGCTACGGCACAACTCCAAATGCCAGAAGAAGAAGGGTCGGAGTACAGCTGTAACTGCAGTCCTTGTGCTGGCTTTCTTCGTTTGCTGGACACCCTACAACATTACCTTCATCGTTAACACGGCTCAGCCAATGATTAGCGCCCCTTCAGCAGGGGCAGATGAGTGTGAAGGGAGCCAGTGGACAGCTATCAAAATAACGGCCATTTTTGGGCTTCTCCATTGCATTGTCAATCCTGTTATTTATCTCTGTTTCTCTAAAGAGTTTCGGCGACGCGCACTGACTTTGATAAAGTTCAGTGCTTGTAAAACAGACCGTAATGAGGTTTCGCTTTGGGACTCTAGTGGAGTAAACGGTAATGCTTCTGTCCAAGAGGTACAAGGTTCACTTCAACCAATGAATGACATTCAACCAACAATAAAGACACAGGATTATGATACATAAATACAATAAAAACAATAATTGACTACTGGATGCTCTGAATCCCATAATTCCTGAAATATTGGAAGACAAAGGGTCCTACAAAGGCTTTTGTACATGCATTCTGGTAAATTCTCCATTTAACTAGATAATGAAGTAAAACATTATGCTCTTATTAAGGAATGCTGGCCAACTCATTTACACTTCTAATTCAGTAAAATGACTATACTGTTGATTATTGCTCTTCCAATGTTATATTTATTCATTTTTTTCTGTAAGTGTCTTGGAATAATGTTCCGAAACAATATTTGGCATTTTGGCCGATACTGTGCCTATTTGCTTGATGATAGAACTGTTCATTTCCACTTGTCAATTTCAATGGATAATACATATTGCAACCATGAAAATGTCAACTGTATTGGATGCATTCACGTATGAACCATGCATTTATTTTATTTTTTTATATAAAGGCTGCTGTAGTTGGGAGTAAAAGTTCTGAGATGTGTCTGAATTTCATCACCTCCCTGCATCAGCGGATCTGTAGATGAACATGATATCATTTGTGTTCTCATGACAGGAAGTCATATCAGTTTCTTAACAATGACATGTGTTTTGTTTTTTTTTAAATGTCTTTAGTGGTCTCTAAAGTGGGTTTAGAGACTTACATGTGAAGGAACACAGTGCTATTTTAATGTACCAAATTCCTATCTTCACACTGAAGTGAAAGATAATGATCTGCTACTTCTGTTAAACTAAAAACGTCAAGTAAATGTTTATGAAAGAATACATTTTGTTTTTTTTTAATCGCCCGTCAAATGAGGAATAATGATTTGACGTTTTCGTAGTTTCCTGTGAGATGGGGTCATGAAAGATTCTTTTCCCATGTTACATAAGCAAGTTTGCCTCAAATATTTTGGGGGAAGTACCTTATTCCTGTGTATAGCACTTACAGGGTGAATTGGTCATTGGGAAAGACCGTTGTTGGGATTTTTAGGCATAAATATTTTCACTTCTCAGGAGTGGAATATCCCCAAGAACAGAAATGATGACAGAGAGAAGAACAAGGGGGTATTTTTGTATGTCTTTGTAATGTACTGCAGTGTAGTTTTCTTCTAACTACTCTAAAGGATATCATTATCTTCTTGAACAACAGAACAATCTGTGTGTAGAAAACGGAGAAAACATTAAGATTTTTTTTTTTTTTTTACGCATCCATAAACTGCCAAAGCACATTTTAATACATGTGATCCACGCCAATGACTTTAGTGAACTTACAATAGACCATTTTCTTGGAAAGTTATAGTGAAATTTGACCGTTCTCTGGTAGACCTATTCGTAAGACGTTCTGGTTTACACCCAAAAATAACCACATGCATTTCAGTTCCTTTTTCCGAACATGTGGTGATCATTATTGTGTAGAAATACAGTATGATTGCACTGTCATGCGATCTGATATCATCAGTATAGACCATTTCACAAGATGTAAACAACACTGGTCCAGAAGCACTTCCTGTTTCAGTTTTTTAACACTACATAAAAGCTGGGATAAAATACAACCAACAGAACATTTAAAACTGAATCAAAAAGTTAAACAAACATCTTTAAGATGTTTTCTTTACATGTAAAATAAAGAAAACAGTTACAAACTGAAACAGGAAGTGCTTCTGGACCAGTGTTGTTTACATCTTGTGAAATGGTCTATTTATTAGATATTTCCCATGAGTCATCATTACATTAAGAAAACTGAACAAACTGAAATGAGATATAGCTGATATTTTGAGAATCCCATAAACATTTAAACATTATAATCATTTTGGTGTATGAGGAACTTGCATTTTTGCAAGTTTCTATGTTAATTTCCTGTCCTATTGTGTTTGTGTGACTGCGGATGACAGTTTTTAATGACATTTGTGACGTAAAATATTGCTAAGTCATGTAGATCATTTTGTATTTGTCTCTTTTTCTAGTGTAGAGTTTTGAAATTTGCCCAGTTTTTTTGTTTGTTTTGTTTTTAGCCAGACCAAAGCAGACAAAGTAGTGTGTTTGCTGTCATAACCCTGGTAGATGGTGGTTGAGAGTGATTCAATAGATTGAACATCACAAGTTTCATTAGGCCTACAGTTGTTTACACTGAGACCTGTTTTGACATGTCTTGGTAACTTGTCAGTCAACTTTTGAAAACTGGGTCATGTGTGTAACTAACCATACCATTATTAGGCTATGTGGTAAACAGAGGTAAACACAGTTATAGCATTAGCAAATTAACAAAAATAAATCTTAAGGCTATTATGATACCAATAATGTTATGGCAGTGAGTTCAGATTAATGTGATAATATCCGATGCCCCCTAGAGGCTTCATTGAAAAGGAAAACAATCTGAAGACCACATATGGCCTGGGTAGCTCATTAGACCTCATCGTGGCTTATTTTTCTTTGCATTTTCAGCTTTCAGTCTGTTTATAGACAGGTATGTTTCTTTTAAAATTATGTCTAATCAGTTTAATTTGCCAAATGTGGACTCCAGTTAAAGTGTAGAAACATTTCACAGATGATTCAGAGATCAGAGATGAGCTGAATTTTGTGTCCTATCAACAAAAGATTTTTTTTTTACTCTTTTGAATAAATTTACATTTTCAAAGTTATCACAGATCAACCTTTTTACTTTTATTATTATTATTATTATTTAAATTTAAGCATTTTAGCATAAGGCTGCATGTAAAACAATGTAAAGAAAATGGACTTGAATGTTTTTTGAATGCACTGTAAAATGGTTGCCGTAATAGTGACATCGTGTGGTTATTTTGGGTACAGCAGTTTATTTCCCTTCACATGTAGCTAGTAGACTAGACTTAAATGCTAGCATTTATTCTCACTGAATAAAAAAAGTATTATAATTAATCCCGGAATGATATTTTGTTTGCTGTCTTTTTGTAAAGTAATCATATAAAAATATTTTTTAAAAAAGCAAATATCTTGAATGAAATGGCAGCTGTCAAGAGTTGAATCCAGACTGTAAAAATGGTTGAAACACCTGAACCTAATAATTGAGTATTACATGTCCCCATGACAACTGATCAAACTGATTAATTCAAAACGAAATTCCCTTTAAAGAAAGGCTTTGCCTAACTTAGCTACTTGCATTTTTCATTCGTTAAAGGAGTGATTCACTTTAAAAAAAAAAAAAAAATTAAATGCTGATAATTTACTCACCCCCATGTCATCCAGGATGTCCATGTCTTTCTTTCTTTGTCTTTCATGTTTTGATGAAAACAATCCAGGATTTTTTCTCCATATAGCCTGGTGCACTTTACTGGTAACCAAACGGTTCAAGGTCCAAAAGACAGTTTCAATGCAAACTGTTCAAAGGGCTTTAAAAGATTCCAGACGATGAATAATGGTCTTTTCAAGTGAAACGATCGCTCATACGTATATGATTAACTGTAATGTGTCAGTAGATGTAAGCGGTTGCCACTAGAAGGCGCTGTGGTATGAAAAGTAAGTGTTGTAAAACAGAGAGTGAAGAAGAGATAAAAGAAAGTTGTGGAGAATCATAAAAGAGTGTGTCCGTGTGTTATTTGATTAAGACAGAGAAGCAACATCAACTTCTGGTGATCAGTGCAACCTTGTTTATCAACTTTATGAACGAATTTTTTTTCGTGTCATTTGGTTTATTCAACGGACGAAATGAACGAATTGGCTTTATGCACAGCTTCACTACTTCCTGAATTTCAGCCAGCTCCTTGGTTCCTGTCTGCCATTATTGGACACATTGATTAATTCTGGTGTGCTTGACCTCAGTAGTCATGGCAACAATAATCAGACACACCTGAATTAATCAGTTTTGCCCAATAATGGCAGACAGGAAACAAGGAGCTGGCTGAAGTTCAGGAAGTAGTGCAGCTGTGCATAAAGCGCATTGACTCGGAAAAAGATTTGTTCATTTTGATGTGTATAGGCTACTGTATATATATATGCAATTTCCTTCTATTTTATTGTATTGCAGTTGTACAGTATATTTAATGAGACAGACACCTCACATTGTGGCTGTAAGTTTTATTCTAACACAACTGAAAAAACAAAGGTTCAACAAAAGTTAACCTTTAATATCCAAATATAAGAAGACAGTAGGCTACAGAAAAAATACACATTTGCAGTTCTGTTTCATATTAAGCCTTCAAGATGTTTTATTATTCAATTACGTTTATTTTTATTATTCAATTATTTGTAAAACATAACCTACAATAGCTGCCATATGTGAGAAGAGAAATAAAGACTTCTATATATTCATGCAAGCTAATCAATCATGAGACTAAAGACCCATTCACACTAAGAACGATATCTAAAGACAAGTTCAAAGATAAATAGTAGCGTCCACACCAATGAATGATAACATTTTTTATAGTTTTGTCATCTCTTGCTTTAAAGCAACACTAAGTACGATTTTTTTACCGTAAAATAATGTTTCCAAAATCGTTTCAGTGGTAACAGAATGAAAGGCACTTACAGTATAGCTCCTCTTTGCGGTCCTATATCTGCAAAAACCATGCTTTGTAAGATTGCCAGATCGGGTCGAGTTTCTGTATTTCTAATGAGACATAAGAAAACTACAAATTTGACTTGCTTTACGTCAAGCGTTACATTCATCATTATTTTGTTTGTTTTTTTTCATTTCCGATGCTGTTCGCAATGCATCATACTTTCAAAAAATCAACATACAAATCAACAATATGCAACTCTACCTTGTCTGTGGACATCGTTCATTCCAAAGCCAGTGCTGGATAGACAACGAGCATGAGAGCGACAGTATATATATATAGGCTGCGGTAGGCTAAATTATTTATGACAGCGGTAATGGACAATTCCTCTTCCAACCTGTAGGGCGACTGCAAAGAAAAGGTTGGTGTTGCTTTAAAGGTGAAGTATGTAGTTATGACACTAGTGGCACCAAGCAGAATGAGAATTACAAAAATATATTTTCACGAGTTGTGCCTGAAAGAACTCTGGCACAAAATGAACTTTTGGTCTAATAAAACATTGGTACCTAGTCAAGCGTTCTCTGAGATTAGTTTTCATGATAATCGAATGTAAAGAGTTTTATCTCTAAAAACTGTTTAGCGTATAACGCTAGAAATGGGGGTATTTAATAAGTAAAAAGAAATCACTAGTTTATACCACAAACAAGCCTCAAGATAGACCCACACTAACACATTAACATAATGAGGGTCCCTACATGCAAACCAAAGCATTGAGAACTTTGTAAGTGTACAGACCGTTTATTAAGAAGATATTTTATAAAGACAGTTCACTTCGTGTATACAGACAGGATCCATCTTGGAAAACAGTCTCAACAAGTCGAACCACGAACGCGGTTCGTACAGTTTAGAAGTTCGCTGAACTTCATACAGTTCAGCTCACTCAGCATGACGTTCGTGGTTTGACTAGTCGAGACTGTTTTTCAAAGATGGCTCCTGCTTGTAGACACGAAGTGAACTGTCTTTATAAAGTATCTTCTTATTAAACGGTCTGTACACTTACAAAGTTCTCAATACTTCGTTTTGCATGTATGGACCCTCATTATGTTACTGTGTTAGTGTGGGTCTATTTTGAGGCTTGTTAGTGGTATAAACTTTCTTTTTACTTATTAAATGCCCCCATTAGTTTTTAGAGATAAAACTCTTTACATTTGATTATCATGAAAACAAATCTCAGAGAACGGTCGGCCAAGTACCAATGTGTTATTAGACCAAAGGTTCATTTTGCGCTGGAGTTCTCCTTTCAGTCACAACTACTCCGGGCCTTCTCCTGGTCCAATTCCCTCCTCTTGTCTGTCCTACTACTTTCTTATCTAAAATCTTATCTAAAAAAAAAATTGTCTGGTCTAGTCTGAAAATAATCTTTTTAACACTATTTGAGCATAAGAATCAACAATTAGACAGTTCATGTCAGATTTTGAGGCTGATTTAAAATGCTATATAATTGCAAGTTCTGCTAACAGTTTTTTGAGATTTCAGGATTCCCAGGCCTAATTTTTGACATGTAAACTGTTGGAGGCTGTTTACACTTGACACATTGAAGTCAACATTTTAAATTGGTACATTTGTCTTTCTGAAAGAGTGCATGATGATGCTGTATGATACTGAAAATTCCATTGTAGCGCGCAATGCCCAGTTCGCTTTGTCACTTTCATTACCTGTTAATTAGGTCTAAATAAAAGGCTTGCACTTCTGAAGCTGTTCTGAAAATGTCTTTTCCTTTTTCAGTAGCTAGCCACACCACAAACTCAAGCTAAACGTTGAGATGGAAAGAGATTGACGGATTTGAGTGGACCACTCTCAATGTTTTAATGGTGACCCTTTTAGGGGAGATGAATGGGATAACAATAGTTAACAATAAAATGGGTTAAGAGAATGTACATCTTTAAAGTTGGGTGGATTCTGATTGTTAATGGTTTTATCATTCATCAGCTGGGAAAGTAGTAAAGTAAGTGATTCCGATGATATTTTCTCTGTGTCTTTATTGTTGTGGTGTGGACTTCACTATTCTCAGAATTAGAACGATTAATAGATACCATTCTTGGTGTGAACAGAAACACTTGTGTGCTTAAAGCCAAACTCTTCAGAAATAATACTGATACAGATGTTACAGGTTGCAAAAAAAAGAGGAGATGGTTTCTGACTGTATAGTTTGATCTTTCAGAAAGCAGACGTGTGTGATGTGTCCACTGACTCTGACCATACAGAGCTTTTCCGCGACACCAGGCCTGCTGGGCCTTTCAGCGTGAAGCCCAGCGGTTTCAGTATGTCCAGCAAGTGCTGGCGAAATTTCACCCCCACAAAAGCATAAAGCACTGGGTTGACACAGCAGTGTAAGTAGCCCAAAGTGTGAGTTGCTGTAAGAGCAACATCCAATGCTGTGGTGCTGTCACAGGATTTTTGGTAACTCAAGGTTTGGTTGTTATTTATGGTGTCAATGATGAGAGTGATGTTGAGGGGTGTCCAGCTGATGAAGAAAGCCAGTACGAGGGCTATGATGACACGGATGGCCCTCTTCTTCTGCATGCCCTGAGAGCCACGTTGCAGCCGCAGGAGGATGCAAGAGTAACAGAACAACATCAATATTGCTGGAAAAGCAAAACCCAAAATATGGTACAGCAGACGAGAGTACAGATGCCAATTATCAGAGGGGTAAAACGCAACACATTCTATTTTATTCTGACGTCTGCTGTCCGCGACGTCCATAAGGAATACCCAGTCAGGAATGGAGAGCAGAAAGCAGAAGACCCAGACCATCAGGCAGCAACAGTGAGTCACCATTGGCTTTTTGCGAGAGTACATCTGCACCGCAAAGACGATGGACAGGAAGCGGTCAAGACTGATGCAGGATAGCATGAAAATCCCACAGTAGAAATTGATCTAATGGAGAAACGTGACAATGAAAGGCTGCAAACCTGAAGTTGATTCTTAAAGTAATAAATAATATTTAAAAAAGCATGGAAGTGAATGCAATTGTTAAATTAAAAATACATATATAACAGTGTTTTACTTGTTTTTACCCGTAAAAAGTAAATGTTATTAGTATAAATTAAAGGGCCCCAAATATTTTAAAGTTTCCTAATGTTGTTGTGGAGACTCCTAAAACAGGTTTACATGCATCAAAGGTAGTAAATAAAAAAAAAAACTGTTTAATTTCCTCATATGCACACTCACCTAAATGATTATTAGGAGCACCATACTAATAGTGTGTTTGACCCCCTTTCACCTTCAGAACTGCCTTAATTCTAGTGGCATTGATTCAACAAGGTGCTGAAATAATTCTTTAGAAATGTTGGACCATATTGATAGGATAGCATCTTGCAGTTGATGGAGATTTGTGGGATTCTATCAGCTTGAATCAGTCGACCCATTCTCCTCTGACCTCTAGCATCAACAAGTCATTTTTCTCCCACAGGACTGCCGCATACTGGATGTTTTTCCCTTTTCACACCATTCTTTGTAAACCCTAGAAATTGTTGTGCGTGAAAATCCCAGTACTGAGCAGATTGTGAAATACTCCGACCGGCCCATCTGGGTGTTCCTAATAATCCTTTAGATGAAACAGAAAATTCTTGCGCCAGCAGCATGGGTCCAAATTTCAATCTTAACCGTTCATCAGAAACGATCTTAAAATAGGGCTTTAATAAGTGTAAACTACCAAACTTGTCCTTTAATATATGGTGCACTTTTAGATTTAAAACTTTGCAGGATGTTTTTCATTCACATAGAGCTATGTTACATACTAGGCCTATGAAAGGCAATTTTCAAAAATCCATAATAGGGGCCCTTTAATGCATTATGTTGATTCGGCATTATTAAATAATATTTTTGACTTGATAAAGGAGTTAATTTAGATGTTATAATTTTTCGGTTACCAGAGTGAAATGTCTGTTTTAGAATTGTCATTCATACAGTTCCATTCCATCACTGATTGTAGATGTAAAACAATAAAACAGAGAAGCTGTGTACCAAATCATTTCATAAATAAAATTTATGAAATAAAGACTAATAAACAATAAATAAACAATAAAGACTTAATGAAATAAACAATAAAGACTTTGCACACCTTGAACATCGCTCCGTTCAGTTTGCAGAGAGCTGTGCCGAAGATCCAGCCCTTCGCTGCCTCTACAGCCATGAAGGGCAGCGTCATCAGCAGCAGAGTGTCTGCTAAACTCAGGTGAAGGATGAAGATGTCTGTAACATTCAAGCTCTGCCTTTTCTTCCACAGTACCACCAGAACCAATCCGTTTCCCAGCAGCCCCACTACCAGCGCCAGAGAGTAAAGGACTGGGATAAAAATTGAATCAAACTGCATGCTTGCAGCCTGATCACACACAAGTCCTCCACAGCAGTCCTCATCTGTGTAGTTGTAATCACTAGAGAAATTAAATTCTTGGGAGCTCATGGCGAAACTTTCGTCAGAATTCATCTTCTGCAACGAAACATACATTTCTATCATTTATTTTCAATACAGTAGGCTACTGGCTACCTATTTATTATTTAATTTAATGAGTGTTTTTAGGCCTAGTGTGTGACGTGAAACTAGTGAATGTGCTATTTTGTGTGTTTGGCAGCATTTTGTGAAGGGTAAAATTTCAATTTAGCCTTTATTCCAGTGTATAGTTGACGTCTGAAGAGACAATAAGCTTTTCTGAAGTAACGTACTTTGGCCAGAAGAGGGCAATGATGAGACATGATGGCAGGCATCAAGTCTTCAAGCTCAAATTAAAGGAATCCTTCGCCCAAAATAATAATTCTGTCATCGTTTACTCATCCTCGTGTCGCTCCAAATCTTTATGACTTTTTTTTTTTTTTTGCTTCTTTGGGACCCAAAAGAAGATATTGTGTTTTTGTTCATTTTTGTTGTCCATAAAATGAAAGTAATGGTCAAATGATTGTTGGACCCATTGCCCATATTGTATGGACAAAACAATTTAAACATTCATAAAAATATATTTTCCTGTAATATTCTGAAGGAATTTGTATACAGGTTTGAAATAAAATGTGACCGAATGTTGTATATTAATAGGAATAATTTAGTCTTTTCATATAGGCTAGCCTATTCATTTCTATTCCTGCACTGCCAAATCCAGGGTTTTATAAGCGAATTTACAGCGGCTGGAACACACTGTTGTTTTTCAAATCAACTGTTTTCATATTCTGTGAATAGCTCGATTGAACAGATAAGAGAAAATGAAAAACCACACTGTGGCCACAAAGCATTCATCACTGATGTCTATCAGTCAAAATGCAATTCAGATTTTCATCATTGATGAGACTAAGCTGAATCCGCTATGACCTTCAGGTGTGTTTCTGAACTGTCTAACACCTCCCTGAGTGTGCATTCCTGGTAAAACACCATTTCTTTGAAAACGAGACTGTGGGTATTTTGGATATACACTCTTAAAAATAAAGGTTCTTTATCCACCTTTAACATCCATGGAACCTTAATTTCCTTCCCCAAAAAGTTCTTAGTGGAAAAAGTTTCTTTAGATTATTAAAATGTTCTTCAAAAAAAAGCTCTTAAGAACTGTTTAACGGTTTTTGGGGACCCCAAAATGTTTGCAAAAATAACCTTTATTTTTAAGAGTGTAATATAGTATAGTCTTCTGATCTTATGCGAAACCATGTTATTTACAATAATGTTCTGAATGTCAGTAATCGAAACCTGAAATCTTCAGAGGTGATATTCATCACCCCCCTGGTATTTCCCTTTTATCATCCTGCAGTCACAAGCATCAGTCTGTTTGAGCTGGACATATACATTTAACTTTTAGAAATCTAAGTCTTAAAATCATTCATAATTGGAAGTGAAGCTCCATCGACGCATTGCATATCAAGACAAGGGAAGCAAATTGTACTCAATATTATGGCAAGAAATAAATCCAATAATAGTGAAATAAAATGAGATGATCACTGATAATCTTTAAATATAAAATGAATACAACAATAAACATTCATTTCAGCATCAATGTGAGCATTATCGATCTATGGTTATTTGGAAGGATGAAAACGTACCTGTGTCAGTGAAGGATCTCACAGTAGTTGAGAGGCGCTAAAATGATTGACACTTTGAGAGTTACTCATTATTAGACCTAAAGGTCACGGCATGCAGATGCGCTGAAGAGAGAGAGGAGGAGGAGACAGTGGCAGGGAACACCAGGGTTTAAAAGAGGAAATATGATAACGATCAGTTGTCACCCATTCACAATTCTATTTTAAATGTTCATTTTGTTTTCTCAATGAAATGTTTTGCTCAGGGAAATGCAGAAATAGGATGCATGTTACAAGTTGGCAAACATAGATTTGACATGTTCATTAGTTATTGTTCATCATTCTTAAAGATGATCTTGTCTAGCACAAAAACAACTACAAAAACTTGACTACAGAGAAATTGTAACTGTTGTTCTGTATGCTATTTGATAATATTTCAGTCTTGTGTTTTTGCAAATTTTTCAACCTTTCAGTCAGAAAACAATCAAATCAAGCCAGCTTTGTTACTTTATTACCAGTTATTTGTGTTCATATTACAGATATATTTTGTGTTTGTTTTCCATCAGTATGAAGCTGATTTGTAATTAGTAGTAATTGTTGCAAAGCAAACTTGTTGCAAAGTAGATGTTCCATCTTGTTTCATCCTTATGTCTCAGATGCACATGCAACGGGATGTTTTTTTTCACACCTTTACACCACGTCCTGTTCTGCATTTCTTGCCTTTCTCACTTGCACATATCGCTGCTCACGTATATTAATTTGTACTTTTGTTGTCTGGTTTTGGTTTTCTACCTTATGTGCTGAGATTTCGCTATTGTGTCAGGTTGTACTTGTTGGTAGCTACAAATGAAAATGTTTAAAGGAGAATAGAGAAGAGAAATCTGGCAGATTTCTTTCAAGCAGAAGAAAAGGGAACCGGGAGACGATGAGCATAGCTATTATTGGTGATAGCTAAAGATAAAGACGGGTAATCTTGACAAAATATTCAAGTAGACCTATATGTCAAATACTGTTGTAGTTGCACATTGGGTTATATGAGGTACCACGTGTCAATTTTTGCCATACTTGCTTGCCATATAAACAGCCTCAGACCTTAAAATACCAACCCACACCAACCAAAAACTTCTCACTGGTATAAACAGGGCAACACACTCTTTAGGAAATGTCACTTTTGAAACCAATTTTAAACCTTACTATAGTGCCCTAGTCAAATTGTTTCATAGGACTTCCATCACTTTTAAATTGTTTAAAGAATAGAAATTCAAATTGAGGTCTTTGATTATGATTGGCTGAGCTGAATTCAAGGCCGTTTTAAAATACTAAACATACTGTGTCTCCTATGCTATTCTAAGATGTTAGCGATGTCATTCACACACAGCAACAACAAAAAATGTTCTTTCACTTTCAACTGCTTTTTTTACATCAATATAATTCAGCAACTGAGACATGAACTGAACACATTATATACACAGAAATAATATAACAAGTCCCTCCCTGAACAAAGGTGTCAATACCAAAAGTAGCAGTCATTATGGTGTTTCCACCAGCTTTGGGATAGTTTACTTTAAAATTAATTTTTGATATGTTTTAGCTTACCTCAAGGGCATCCAAGTGTCAGGGTGTGGTTCAGGCAGAGGAACGAGGAGTCCGGAATATCGGTAAAGATCAGTTTTAATATCTATAAAACAGGCAGGAAGACAGGAAGACAGGAACACGGGCGCCACACGGGCTAACAACAAACATCGACCGACAAAGACTGAATGGAACTGAACTGAACTAAATACACAGATGACTCAAACATAATGGGGTGAAAACAGGTGAAACAGATGATCAAGACGAGGAACAGGTGGCTTATGAGGGAGTGAGTTTAGGAGAGGAGACAAAAGGATCCTGGGAAGTGTAGTGCTGATGAAAAGACGAGGGACTGTGACACCAAGATGTAGGTGTCTTTGTTTCCACAGTATTTTCAATTGTGACATGCATTTTTAGGTCAAACCTTTGTTGTCTTTCAGTCATATAATGGAAGTCTATGGGGATTTTCTAAAAGAGCATGCACAGAGAAGTCAAAATTAAACATGATTTAATGACTCGTAAATGTAAGTACACATTGATGGCCTAAGACACGAAACGAGCGGTTTGTGTAAGAAAACAAAAAGTATTTATATAGTTTTTACCTCGTGTATCCACAGCCAAAGTCCAACTGATCTGACGGTACGGGCGCTTTAGTTTGCGCATGCGCCGGAAGGTATCGTGTACGTCCCTCATTGTTTACACAGAGATTTCAGAAGTTTTACCTTTCACTAAACATATTTAGATATTCAGGAAATCGCAAGACGATTTCAATATATATCTAAATATGTTCAGTAACTTTTGGACAGTGTCACTTTAGAAAAATTGTGAGAAAAAAAGAAAAAAGTGTGATTTATACACTTTTTATTTTCACATTTTGAAATAGACTATGTATGTTGTTTTTGTACAGTGGTTTAATTTCTCATTGATTTTTTTTAAGGAGGCACTGTCTCCTCTGAGGAAACTGTGTGGTACAAAAAATTACTAAACCATTTCTCAATATATCTAGTTTTATTTTGACAGAAAAAAGAAACTTATAAAGGGTTGGACTGACAAGTAAATGATGACATAATATCAAGTTTTGCGTGAACTATCCCTTTAGAAAGAGGGTCAGGTGAGACACAATTTAGGCCTATGTTCACAAACATGTACCCATTTTTCTGGCAAATGGCCAGAACATATGACAGATTTCTGGCCATCTGCATTATCAATCCAGTGTATGCATTCAGTGGTGACCAAGTAAACATGATGACACAAAAGAACAGGATTCACATGGTGTTTGCTACCACTAACCTCTTTAACAGCAACATCTGAGTAATTAAACCTGTAGTCAGAGGAAGTCTGACCTAAATCTGCAGCTGAAACTTTGCAGCAACAAATCATGAATATCAAATGTACCCCTATAAAATATTTATGTCTTTGTTAAAGTAAGTATAAATGTGGTAGCCTACACATAAAATAAATAATAATAAAAAAATTTTAATAGCATTTCAAATAAGGGTAATGTAGCAAACATGATGATGTTACCTTAAAAAACCGAAGGACATTTATTTCTGGATTGTGGTGAGTTGGTACTTGTCAGTACTTTACACACTGCATGTGTGTCAGTCACTGAAAAGTAAATCTCTCTGGAGGTTGTTAGATTAAGAATAAGAAAAAAATTAAAAGTAAAAAATAACTTGTATTGTTTATGTAACTCTCAGTGATAATGTTTGTGATAATTTTTATGTTTTGGACTATTTGACAGCAAATAAAAAATTAGTAAAATATGAATAGGAAATGAGTAAAAAAAAATAATAAAAATCATGTCCATATGGGTTGTTCTGTGATGTAAAACAAAAAAAAATAGTGCAGCAGGTGTTGATACCATGGTCTTGTTTCATTTAAGGAACTGAGAATACTAAGACGATACGTACATTTTAATGACTCTGCACTAATTTTACACTTTTTTTTTGCTGCTTAAACAAATGTTTGTTTGTTTTTAGTAGTTAGGCAGATGACAAAAGCTGTACCGCAAGGCTAAAGAGGTTGTGTGCAACAGGAAGAAAAATATAATTTTTAAAAAATAGAGAAGTGGAAAGAGAGGGAATTGCTGAGGCTAAGGGAAAACTGATGTTTACAGTATATTTATAGGAAATGGGCTTAGTTATTAAGTATGTTATTGCTTCTTTTTTATGACAGCTGAATGTTTTGTAGGGAAATACAGTTTCAGAAAAACTTAAAATACAATCATAGAAACAAACAAGAACATTGCCACATTGATAATTCAAAAACCCTTCACTTCCTCGTTACACATGATGAGAAGAATATGCCCACCACCACATTACCACGTTCTCACCCATTTTGAAAGGTGGGATGTAGGAACTGTGGCAGTGTGTATATGACCGCACAACAAACTTTTCTCCACATTCTGACCCGTTTTTAACCTGTAAGTGATGCGTAGTGGGCTTTGTAAGGCTCTTGAAACTTACTGTGACAAAAGTGACAATTGTTACATTTTTTTTTAAAGACATGTTTGAGTCTCCATGCCCACTACACCTCTGTGGTTTCCTGTTCTGTACGAGAACAAAAATCAGCAGACAGGAAATATAACTTTTCTTCTTAAGACTAGGGCCCCTTTTCAGAACATACAGTAAATACACTTCCTTCAAATACTTTGCATAATAAACTATGAATTTTTTTAGTTCCAGTTCCCACTCGAGTCAAACTCATCCAAAAAAATTAGAAATAAAACTCTCCAGTAGGGTACCAGCTGTTCTGGTTCTGGTGGCAGTTTGACCTCAAGTAGCTCCCGATCTCTTGGATCTTATGCTCAGTCGTTAAGATTTCCATTGTTAAAAATCCAGTCATGCTTTTGAAAGGTTGTGCAACACACTCCTGAGGTGAGAGAAATCCGCTATTTACCTTTTTCACTTTCTCCTACAATGACGCAAAAATCATCATTTTACGTCATTGTAGGAGGAAGTATAAGAGGGGGGGATTTCTGTAAAGTCTACAAACACTAGTTCCCACCCTTTCAAACCCGCCCATAGGGGGTTGGACCTAATGCGCTAACAGACCCATCACAGATCAGTGCCACTGCATTTGATTTCACCGGCAGAAACTTTTTGAAAATATGGACAAAGGTACTGAATATGCAGACGGATGCACTATGGATAAGGTACCGAAACGTGGTGCCAATAGGACACCGGTTCCGACATAAACGGTAATAACCAGGCCAAATAAGAACGAAAATTTCAGTGCCTGAGTCTCTGTGTCATGACACGCAAAGTCTCTCGCTCTCTCCCTCGTGCGCGCACTCTACGGTTTGGAGCACAGTCTGTTCTCTCTCGCATGCACACTCTTGCTCACTCGCTCTAGATTCCGGGAGATTTTAATTAATTTGCGGGCATCAGGGAGCCATTATCAATATGCGGGAGACTCCCGAAACTTCTGATAGTGAGGGGGTTAATGAAGATGCCGAAGAGAAAACGCTCCAAGGTTTGGCTGCGTTTCAAGTTTAAATTTATATAGTTCATTGAATTAAATTTATAGTTTATG